ATTGTAATAATAAATGCCTCAAATTTGTTGTGTTTTGTTCTGCTCCCAATGAAGATGCATGATATTTCCATATAAATTTGGCAAAGTTACCAGTCATCAATATGTGATTGATATCATCTTTGCCTTTGATGTAACAACAATAACAATCTGCTATAGTGTTGCCAAATCTCTGTAAAATTTCATTGGTAGGTAATTTTCCTTTTAAAGCTCTCCAAATAAAGAAAGATACTTTAAAAGGAATATATTTATGCCAAATAATATTATAAATAGGATCCGGATTCCTTTTCTTTCTAATGGTTTCCCATGCTGAAGAAAGAGTAAAACTACCAGTTTCATGAGGTTTCCATATTGCTGTATCATTTTTTCCTTCTTGGTGGATGAAAGAAATCTGAAGAATGGTAGGAACTAGTTCAGGTGGCACATGCTGTCTCACCTTTCCCTCATTCCATGTGCTTCCTACTATAAATTCAGATACTGACTCATTTCTCAGACTTGAGATATAACCACATTGATGAGCAAGAGGTTCTATACCCAACCAATTATCCCACCAAAAGCTGCAAGTCCCAGAATGAATTTGCCATTTTATATTGGATTCCACCAGTGGTCTATTTCTAGTTAAGTATCTCCATACAATAGAGTCTCCAGTGTCATATTTTTTTGCTACAGGATTGGCTCTTTGACAATATTTAGCCTTTAAAAATTTGCTCCACAAAGATATTTTTGTTCTAAACTCCCACCATTGTTTGTACTGAAAAGCTGTACACACATCTTCTAATAGCCTTACTCCAATACCCCCTTCTTTAATAGGATATGCCAGATTCTCCCATGATGACCAATGATACTTTTTTCCATCTTTATCAATACCCCAAAAGAAATCTGCAATTACTTTTTTAATACAGTTTAAAGTAGTCTTTGGAGGAGAAATAGCAGCAAGTGTATGAATAGGAATAGATTGCAACACATGTTTAATCAAAATAGTGTTACCACCATAATTCAATCTTTTTGATTGCCAACCAGCCACTCTTTTGATCACCTTCTCTATAACCTCAGAATAATAGATAACTCTTTGTCCTCCTATATATAAAGGACACCCCAAGTAATTAATAGGACTGTTCTTTCTACTAAATCCTGTGACCTTTCTAATCTTTTCAATAATATCTTGATTAGTATTAGGAATCATGAAATAACTCTTATCCTTATTTACCTGCTGATCAGAAACAAGTTCATAATTTTCAATAGTTTTCATGATTAATAGAAGAGAAGTATTATCAGTGGATGTAAAAATAATTATATCATCTGCAAAACTAAGATGATTTATCTGAGGTCCATTCCTTTCCATGTGAAAACCTCTGTATAGCTGATTTTGATGCAGATCATTAAGTTGTCTAGAGAGAACTTCAGCTCCTAAGATAAAAAGTGCTGGAGATAAAGGATCACCCTGTTTTAAACCTCTAGTAGAGTGAAAAAAACCATGTCTCTTACCATTTATCACAATGGAGTACCAATTATTACTAATAAGCCTCCAAATTCTGTCAATAAAAACCTCAGTGAAGCCAAATTTTCTCAAAATAATACAAGTATATGCCCAAGAAACTCTATCATAAGCCTTAACCATATCAAGTTTAATAACTACATTCCTGTCATCTTTAGGGAGTTTAATGCCATGTATTATTTCTTGAGCCAACATGATATTTTCAGATATATTCCTTCCTTTAACAAATCCTGACTGATTCTCTGAAATTATAAAAGGTAATACTAAAGACAATCTACTACTAATAATCTTGGAAATAATCTTATTTGTAAAATTACTTAGGCTGATAGGTCTAAAATCCTTCAATCTGCAGGGATGATCCACTTTAGGTAAAAGAATAAGACAAGAGTGAGACATGTATCTAGGCATCATAGAACCATTAAAGAAAGACTTAACCACATTCATCAGATCCTCTTTAATAATGTCAAAACAAACTTGGTAGAACTTTCCTCCAAATCCATCAGGACCTGGAGCTGAATGAGGATTCATTTTCATAATAGTCTGTCTTAATTCATCCTCTGAAGGTATTCTATCTAACTCAGCATTTTGATCACTAGTAATTGAGTTCTTAATACAATGTAAAGTATCCTCTCTTATAATCTCATTTCTTGCCAGTAAATATTTTCTCATAATATTCACAAGCTTCTCTGGCAATATACTCTTCACCTTCAATCCAATTCCCATTATCCTTCATAATTTTGTGAATAGACATTCTTTTTCTTTTTCCTCTAATCACAGCATGAAAGTACTTAGAATTTGCATCTCCTTCTTTTAACCAATGCAATTGAGTTTTTTGTTGAAGAATATTGTATTCAAGTTTCAAATATCTAATATAATGAGCATTAGCATTCTTCAACTTCCCCCTATTCTCATTACTATTGTCCATAATCAAATCTTCCTCAGCTTTTTTCACAACCTCCTCATAATGCTTTACTTTTTCAAAAACATCTCCATATTCCTGTTTTGACCACTCTCTTAAGGTTGTAGTTAACCTTTTCAATTTTGAATGTAAAATCCACATAGGATTTCCAGTAATATCCTTTTTCCAACATTGTTCCACAGTAGATAAGAAAGACTCATTCTCAATCCAACAATTGAGACATTTAAAGTACTTGATAATATGATCATCCTTATCCCTCATTTCCATCAGTAAAGGACAGTGATCTGATCCTACTGATGGAAGATGAGTTATATTAGTATAAGGCATCTTTTCTAACCATTTGTCATTAGTCATACCTCTATCAAACCTTTTCCAAATAGTAGCCCCATCCTTCCTGTGATTACACCAGGTATAATGTTGACCAATATATCCCATATCTACTAAACCACAAGCCTCAATAATACTAAGAAATTCCAAACTCTTACTGATGTTATAATCTCTACCCCCAATTTTTCCTGAGTTGAAGCTATCACATTAAAATCTCCAATAACACACCAAGGATAGTTAGTATCAGACCATTTCAACATACCATCCCACAAAGGTTTTCTCCACTGATCCTTACACTTAGCATAAACATAAGTCATTATAAAATTCTCATTGCAATCCTCATGCTTAATTTCACAAGTAATATATTGCTGATTGCTGTCAATAATCCTACATTTCACCTCCTCATTCCAAAATATCCAAATTTTGTTATTAGGATTGTAAAAAC